GACAGTGAGACTTACTGACTGCCCTGTGCTATTTTAAGAGCAGCGACAACAAACAGTATTAAGCAACAGGCAGATGATTGGTGTGAGAACATACAGACATATAGTCTATTGTGCCAGGGGAGGGGTAATCTGGTTCCCATGTTTTCCATTTTTCCCGCACTGGTGTCTAGCGTAACTAGGGTTAGTGAGCTATTCGTAGGCTTCTTCTCAAGCAAGACTTGTTCCTATAAAAAAAAATGCTATTTGTTGAATGGCCTGTTGATAAATTGATTCTGTAATTAAAATAGGACAAACCAGTACCAATACAATGAGCGCATTGTTATTATGATGTAATTGCGTTCAATGCGTCCATCCATCTGCATGGCACTCATTCAGTACCAGGATTGGTGGGGCCGGGATCCCAGCAAACGTTCGCTACAGTGATGGCTGCTCTCAGAGAACCGGAATGCCCTGGATCTGTAAGGCATTTCTTTCATTGAGCTCTTCGCTGCTCCTGGATTAAGGGAACAAACAGCCCTTTCAGTCACAGCGGCTCGGGGTGTGAAAAACACCAGGTGTTTTGTTTTTTTCCCCCCTTTTGCTGTGTGTTGCTGCCATCATGTCTCGTAATTCAGGCACAGTAATGAGGAACGCATCAGCTTCGCTCAGTGTCTGCCGTCGGAGGAGCAATAAATCTCTGTAAAGAGCATTTGAATCATTATCATTTCAGACGGTAAATTATCTTCTCGTTGGGCAACTCGCGTGCCCCGCTCTAATTACGCAATAATTTTGCGAGACCTCTGGTTTATTATTTTGTGCAGGCCGATCTTTTCACCACGTATATGTAACACCAAACTCAACTGAACACTGCCCTCAGCTTTACTGCATCAGTAGTGCCTTGAGTTCACAACCTGATGCCAAGAAGGTCATCCGAGTCGGTCAGGCGATCAGGAATCCTCATACACTATTGTTTAACGCAAAAAGGCATGGATGGATGGATTGATGGTTAAATAAATATATATGGATAAAACCTAAATTGATGGATAGATTAATGATGGATGGATGGGTGGATGATGGATGGATTACATACGGATAAATAAATAAATGGAATGATGGATGACTGTTGGATGATAGATGTTATATGGATGAATGGATGGATTGATGCATACTTTATTGATCCCAAGTAGAAATTTGCTTGTGTGCAGTAGCAAAGGAACATAATATAATTATGTATTATTATTATTATTATTATTATTAGGAACAGACATAAACACAATGCAAACTGTAAGACAATCTGTGAGACAAAACACAAACTCCCTTCCGTGAAAAGATACCTAGAGGCTGAATTGTGCGATGACACTATGATTCATGGCAAGTATGGAGAGAAAGCATGTGTGCTTTAGACCTGGGGCGAGTGTCACTGTGTTAATGAGCAAACCAGCTGCTGCTGATGTTACAGCTACATGTGAAAGGAGTGTCCAGGGATGTCTCCACCAAGAAGACACTTCCCAGGTCTCTCTACCAGCTTACATCTAAATGCTCGTCGGAGTGTTACTTACACAAAAATGTTCTAGGGGCAGACTGAAAAATGATTGGTTCAGAGAGAGAACCAATCACATTGTAGAGGAGGCGGGGCCAATCAATCAGGTGTCTTGGTCCTGCCTCCTTTAGTTACTTAGACCCGCCTCCTCTGCAATCTGATTTATTATCTCTCTGAACCATCATTTTCTGCCCTCAGAACATTTTTGTGTAAGTAAAACTCCCATGAGCCATCTAAATCCAAATGTTTGCATATGAAAAGTTCTTGATTCAACTTATATTTCTTCACAGGAATCCTCACCATAAAAGCATTTATAGGTATTTTTTTGTTGCTGTCTTCTGAACAAATGTAGACCCAATGCATAGAGAAGAAATGCATTGACAAAATAGGGATTTTTTTTTAGCTGTTTTACAGTTGGTGCTAAAACCCCTTTAAGGGAAACAAACAGTGGTGTATAAGATGTACACTCTATATGACGATGCACTTCGCATTGATTGGAAAGCGTCGCATGCTCCTTTAAGCGGCGCCAGCGACACGCACGGGGGAGTCTCTCTGGGTCACCATTTACAACGTTAACCCGAGGAATGGATCTGGCAAATGGGCTGACAAGCGAGATTCCCGAGCTGGAGAAAGTCAGAGACGGACCTCGCGTCGTGTGTTTACGGGGAAACTCTCTCTGCTTCACAGCTGGCTCTCTTTCATAAAAGGAACGTCTTCCTGGAAAAAATAAACCATTCTTTAAAAAATAAGGTTGTAACTTTTTCCACAACCCCCATCTCTCACTACAAACAGTAGTTTATCTGACGGTTTCTGGATTTCATCAGTAGTTATGTAGAATTCAACTATTATTCCTTTTGTTCTGTAGTGGATACTTCAATAGTTGTAAACATAATTACAGGGCAGGGTTTGCAAATGTACACATACTGCTTTCAGATGATTTAGCTTCATATTAGTGTTTTAATGTTTCACACGTCCATTGATTGCTTTCATATCTAGTAAACATTCTTTGGAAATACTTCCAAGGAGAGCCGTTTCCAGTCCTTTGTGTGTTTTTTTTTTTTTTTTGGATGTCACTCTCGTTTCCTTACTGTTGGCCTCCCTGAAGGTAGATTTTAGTTGGTTAATCTCTATGTAAATCTGAGTTCTCTTGGGATTTCACGTGAAATGTGGCAAGACGGCGGCAGGGGAGCAGATGAAAGCAGATCAATCGTTGCTAGGAGAATATGGATTTTTGTGCTTGTTTGCGCTATTACGCAAGCTCACTGAGCAAGGGATTAAGCAGGAAGGAAGTTCCGCCTCATTTGTCAAAGGGATTCTTCTGAATCTACATCTTCACCTGTCTTCAAAGGTACAGATTCCCATGACTCAATATTACATCAAATTGTAATATAATGGCTGGGAAAAAAAATGCATTTTGTCTGTCACCTGTTGTTTTGTTAACTGGTGCTTCTTATCAGGTACGTCTAACATTTGAAAGAATACTTTACAACGTATTCCATAGTCATCAATCTGAAGAATCTTTCATGAGGATTTCAGTGGAAAATCCAAAAACTAAACTCAGCCATGAGGGCACCAAAGGAAAATGTATTAATGCATGAACAAAAAAGCCTAATGAAAGGTTTCCAAATTTGACATCAGTGATGAATACAAAACAGACAGTATCACCGCTTTCCTGCAATTTTGCACGGCACTGTGGGATGCCACTGAATACTAATCAATTCAATAAGCTAAACCCGTGTCTGGAAGCAATTGTTGGGGGATGTGACTGAAAGGGCCAGCTCGTGCCGGGGGATTCAGAGCCCCTGCCTTCCTGCTGCTGAATTCTGCACTGTCATGTGTTTCGTCCGGATCAATAGGCACTGTGGGATTTCATTTGTTTTAAAAGCTGCTCCACTGCAGGATATCTCCTATAACACCTAACTACCAAAAAGAGTTTATTATATAACTAGAGAATTTTAAGAAATTACGTCAACCTCTTCCAGGAACAACTGACCCAAAAATGTTGTACTAGAACTCCGCTAACACAAATTAAAGGATGCTTTAATCGCATTTTCAGCCGCTGTGAATATAATTGTACCATTCTGAATATAAGCATTGATTTTTTTTTCAGCGAATGACAATCCTCATTGCAGATCCCATATCCAGTCATAGGAGTACCGTTGACTTTCAGTGCTTCTCCAAAAAGCCAACTGACCACATGAGTTGAACTGGGTTTTTGTAATAAAAATCAATGAAATCAATAAAATCACACTGCGACTTGGGAATGGTTTTTGGGAATGTTGGGCAGCCATGCAGATAAGGCCCCTTGGCAGAAGCAGGGACGTGAATCTGAAGGCATGGAGACCTATGGAGCCTCAGTAGGTTCCCAGGACCATCAAGACCTCAAAGTGGGAGATCATTGTGCTGGAGGGACCGTCAAGACCTCCGAGTGGGAGATCATTGTGCTGGAGGGACTGTCAAGACCTCTGAGTGGGATATCATTGTGCTGGGTAGATTTGCAGTGCACTGTTTTCCTAGAACAAAATCCTTGGCTTTGGAAGGATAAGTGCAGTTTATAAAGTGCAGAAGTAGCTTTGGTCTATTACTATGAGGTGATAATATGACCAGTAGATACATGTAAAGTACGCAGCAAGTAACAGGCACGAATGTAGAAGTTACTGTGACAAGAGTGGATGTGGCCATATCATCTGAAGATTTCCCAGTATGTAACACTATGACAGGCAGGTTTTAGGATGGGTCACGCTACATTTACACCTTCCTTCCTGCGACGAGGCTGGAAGGACGGTTTGTTTTTTGTTTGACAGATCTAAACAAATTGCAATAGAGGCCAACTATATCGATCATCCCTCTATCTGGAGTTCAATCACAGCATCTATCCATGGCTATAATGTTATTGCTGATATTCTGCAGTGCGGCAGCCCACGGGTGTGTCTAGACAAATCTAGGAATCCCACCGAACGCTTTGAAATGGTTCCTCTCCTTTACGTAAGTTTGTATGAAGCAATGCTGTTTTTCTGCTGCACATTCTGGAATCCCAAAAGGTGTTTCCCAGGTGCCAGTTAGCAATTTATCAAAATCTTAAGGTCTTAACCAAAGCCTTCCTCATAATATTTCAGAACTATTAAAGATAATCCATATTTCTTAAACAGTGGATTCTCACTTAAATAGTCAAGCACTGCATGATTTCCCCCCCCCCCCCGTTTCGTCTTGCCTATGCTGAATTATGCACAGCAGATTTTCCTGTTGTTGGCTGGTATCCATGCCAGGAGAAGTGGATGAAAATGTCCCGAAGGTGCGCAGGGTCCACAGCCATTGTGCGCATCACCATGACGACCAGCACCTGCACGCTCGTTTGTGCCGATTTTCTCATTCCGCCCTATGAAGGCCATGCGGCTACAGCGTTCCACACGGACGCGGTCCCGCTACACGCGTGTCGCCGCGATAGTACGGCAGCTACGTTAACACAGCACTTTTTTGTTTCTGCAGTAAAGCAAATAGATTTATTAAGCACTTTAAGATACATCAGGAAATTCAGCTCAATATAATACAGGAAATAAAATTTGGAAATGAAGTTTAATGTACATTGTAAGCTATTTACAATCACCCGATTTAAATGAAACTGAAAAACATAAAAATGACATTTTGCAGAAGAAACCAAAATGAACTTCAGGGCCTAACGAATGACTCAACAATTATTCACTGTTCAGTCCAACATGCCCTTCTGTTTTTTATTTACAGTTCTCACTTCAACTTCTTGTCCAAAGGGGCGGAGGAGAGTTAGACCTTTATCTGACAGATTGCCACGTTTCGCCTTCTTTAAGTGTAATTGTGCATCAAAGACAATGATTTTTCCGTTCTGCTTTCCATTTTCTTCTCGGCGAGGCGGCACACTGACAGGGCTCTGAAAAGCCAGCAAAAATATGACGTTACAGAAAAATGCTCACACACGCCTCCCGCTGGCCCAGGAGAAACAGCTGCTTGCAGTCCCGCAGCCCGTCCCGTTCCAAAGCCCAGCGCCCGACTTTCCGGAAAGCTCACACACATCTTCCACCCACTCTGTCTCACGTTTTAACACAAATGTAATGCAACACTTTGAACGATGCTTCACAAATATTTTGGTTTCAAGACTGCTGCCTGGAGAGAAGTTTATCTTGGGGCGGGTGTGTGTGTGTCTGGGGGGTGGTGGGGTTGTGCTGCAAAGTCAGCCATTTTGAAAACGGGAAAAACCTGTGCTGTTTAAAGTAAACTGTGCAGCCTTGTCAGACATATAGTCCAACTGCCATCTGGGGTGGGGGGAGGGGCTATGTTTGCATTTTTTTCTTGCATTGCAGAGCACACATGGGGGAGTATCACTACTTTAAATGAAATGTCATATTTAGCACCAAACTTGCACGTGATGAGATTGTTGTTCAAATTTAAAATGGGATTTAAAAAAAACAACAACAACAACAACAACAACAACAAGTAAACGTCCCACAGGGACAAAACAAAACCAAGTGAGTTTGAGTTCCATGACTTCTGTTCCCTTGCAGCCAGTAACACTATGTGTAACAAACAAAAGTCATTCACTAGGATGGAGTCCTGCATTTCTGCAGGCAAAATATAGACACAGCACCATGTTAAAAAAAAAACAATACAATACAAAGTGGCTTTTTCCATAATAAATATGCTTGATTACACCCATATTGCAAATTAGCAGTGCTACTATACATACAATGTACTAGATGTTCAGCGCATAGATGTGAAACTCTGGATGGTCAAAGAGGCGGAGATTCAATGATGTTACCCGGTGTCATGAAATGCATTAATACTACGATGTTGTTGCGATACTGTACTTGCCAGTACATTGTCCCAAGCACGTACATTTGCAGGCAAAAAAATTAAACACACAAAAGGAAATGGGGGGGGGGCGGGGGGAAACATTGTACAAATTCGACAATTAGTTTGTTAGGAAACAAGCAAAAAAAACAAAAAACAAACACACACATGAGAAACCAAACCAAACAAAAATGAAAAGTGCATCCTCTACGCATTAAATATTGATATGTTAAATAAAATGGTAGCGTGCAGGGTTACACTGAAAACGCCGTCCCAACCGTAGGCACATTGCAGCATCAGTCTACATTATCCGTGTGCAGAGACCAGAGTTTTTTTGCAAGCTTCTGAGGTGCAAGATCAGTAATATGCAGACTACTGATCATCTCCTCCTGAACAACAGATGCTCCTCTTGACAAGCCTGAAACAAGAACACAGAAACTTGTTTAAAACTTAGCAAAGATGGTTTCCTGGTGCTATTTTTTGTGCTCAGGCTTTTCTGCAGTACGTGTTAAAATACTCGCAGCGGCCGAGAAGTGTCACGTAAATCCCTTGGCTGTAAGATAACACTGTTAACAAAAGATTCTCACTGACAAAAGCAAAAGGCAAGATTAACTATTTTGTAACAAAGCAACTACATTGAAGTCACAGCAAGCAAGAGCTGAATGGCATGAAGGAGAAAAAAAAAGTAAATCTAAGTCACTGCTGGGTTTGTTCCAGGTGCAGCAATTAAAAAACAGCAATGAAAGTGTACGCCGTGCTTAAACTGCTACTTTAACGCGCTTCCAGCTGGACATTTCATTGGCTCCTATTGGTCCAAGTCAGGCAGTGATTGGCAGCAAAATATAAATCCACCCGCTAGCTTTCAGGTCATTTTCCACAGCTACTTTTTTTTTTTTTAATCCATTAAAGATATACTCTACATATGAAATAAGGGAAATTTCCCATTCTTTCTCAGGTCATTTATCAATTTAATGAGAAGAATCTACAAGAAATAATAATTAATTGTGCAACATTTAATAAATTAATCTTCAATATGCTAGGCTTCTTAGGGTGGGGGTGACAGTCAACACCTGACCATTTCATATGCCTTGGAGTGCATTTCATCACCATCTGGCCAACTTGTGACCTGAAAAGCTAAATGGATTCATAAAAAAAAATACATATTAATTTAGGAGCTGTAAGGTCCAGGAAAGGGCCTTTCTAGCTCAATACTGGCATTTTCTCATTGAATGTTTCATGTTTAACAAGCTGACTAGCTATAATGCAGAATACTGACAGGCTTGGTGTTACAATACTAAAAATTTGACACCGACGTATGGAACTCCTCCAGATTTGACAGTGGCCTGGACAGTCTTACGGTCGAGGCGAATGCCAAAATGAATGATTATTTGTAAACGCACAGAATTGTCTGAAGAGGAACAGTGGAGCCTTTATGTTTGTGTGGAATTTCCCGCTTAACACCTGACTGACAAGCAGCTGTTACACAGCAGAACCACTCACCAGTTTTTGGACATACAAGTGAGCGGAAACACACACACACACACACACACACACACACACACACACACACACACACACACACACACACACACACACAC